ATACTTGCAACATATTCATGTTTTGACAAATTAATATATAATTATTTCATAAAATTATTTGTTCAACTGGACTGATTGATGTTAAAAAAGAACAAAAGAAAAAAAAAATTGAAGTTCAACCGTAGCAAATCACATCAAGGAGAAATATATAATTCCATCTTTTCATATTAAATTTGTAATCTTATTATAAGTTTCACACCCATATGTTTTTTTAATTGTTATTATAGATTCTATATCTGCCCCCGATTTTCGTTCTGTTTTTCGCCACTAGTCTCGTGTCCGCGTTTTTCATTACAGGCCCATATTTTCATTTATTTTTATTTACTATATTAAATTTTTTAAAAAACTAATATATAAAATTTTAACAATAAAAAATGAATATATATGAAAATAAAAAAGATAGCTTGTGAGAGGAATTGCTATGGATTTACCGTTTAAAATCTATTGTGTTTAGAAAGGATTAAGATTAAGATAGCAAGGCATGTGATGATTAGCTTGGCTTGGCGGGACAATAGGTGGGATTTTGCTGGTGCAGGAATCTTCTTTCTAGATCCAATATAATATTCCAACGTTAATTTCATATGGAATTTAGCATATGGAAACAAGAAAATAATGAAAAAAAAAGTGGGAAACTTTGTTTAGAAACAAATGTAAAAGCAAATTTTTTCACAAAAATATTCTTCAAAGAAGTTGTGGTAAAAGATCAAAATCATTATTAAAAATTTTATAATTATTACTAATATTTCTTGAATTACACAATAATCTTAGAAATACCCAAGGCCAAAATAATTTTTAGTCCCTTGATATATTAATGTAAATAATTTGTTGAGTTCAATTATTAAATTGCCTATCTCTCCTGAAATTTGCTAAGCCTAAAAAGAGAGCCAATTTTAAAAATTAGATTGTTGGATGCTTTTTATACCTACAAACTTCACCTAACTTTTGAATCTCTTCATTGTAACAGTCATTGTAATACCATCTCGTTAAGAGCTAACATTTTTTATGTTTCCATTCTTGACATTCTATCATTAAAATACTACATGAGTAATCCTTTTTATAACACTAATATCAATTAAAACATCAATGTCATGAGTGCAAGTCAAAGAGGACGACACATCTCACAGACTTATCTCGCTCAACTTATAAGGTTTCCGACAGGTACTGGTTACAAAATCCTTCACTGGCCATCTTCGATTAGCCTGAACCACCTGCATTGTTGCCCTCAGATTCTCTAAACTCCACTCTCACTCCTCACCCTCTTCTCCTTCCACAACCTTCCTCTTCCACATATCATCATAGTCGAAAATCATCTCCTCATATTTCAATAAAAAACATTAAAATCAAATTTGTTTTCAAAAATCAATCCTTTTGTATTCAGGAATTTAACAAAATCATTAAGTTAAGCCATGAAGCCATGTGAGAAGCCAGTGATGAAGCAATAAAAAAGGTAGTGACGAAGAGAACGGTGGGAGGGGATTTTGTGGCCAACAGAAAGAACGAAAGGATGACTGTATCTCCGTCATCGTCGTCGCTCTCCCCAGCGAACTTCTCTCCGGCGGCCAGTGCAAATCAATCATTCACTTATGCCTAGGTCCAAGCCAACATCACCAGCTATTGCCCCCCCCCACCCAGATTGAAGCTATCGTTGTCGGGAACAAAGTCTTCGTCAACCTAAAGAGCAACACACCGTTCCTCATACCTGCCATGAAGTTCAGACTGACTCGCTTCTTGCTGGTGCAAAGAGCAAGGAAGTTCTCGACGTTCTTCCGGTGGTGTCGGTTGTCCTAGAGAGACAGGGTAGAAACATTCAGGGTTCAGACTGGTTGGATGGAAAATGAGGGATTTATGAGGGGTGGGTGATTTAGTAATTGAACATAAAAAATTATTTAGGGAAAATTAATTGATTTTTATAGTTTTGATTCAATTATAACTCAGTCCTTATATTTTTAACTCAGTTGTAATTAAAATCCTGAATTTTATCTATTATAATTTAGTTCCTATAATTTCAACTACTTAAATATTTGTTCTTATATTTTTTCAAAAATAAAATTATAAAGATTAAAAAAATTAAAATTTTAATATTTATAATATTTATAAGGATTAAAAGGGTTTAGTAATTTAAAATATTAATAATAAATTTTAACATATTTTTAATCTTTATAATTTTATTTTTTAAAATATAGATATCAATATTTAAGTGGTTGAAACTATAACGATTAAATTGCAAAAAGTAAAATCAAAAGACTGAATTATGACAAAGTCAAAACTTTAGAGATTAGTTATAACGAGTTAAAATTCAGGAATCAAATAATTGAGTCAAAACTAAAGGTGTTCACAAGATAGGACGGGACTGAAATACCCATGTCTCATCCCAAAAAACAATTGGGACTGCATTTTTGTTTCATGTCACATCTCGGTTTAAAAAGTTATTTTATCCCATTAAGAATCAAGACAAGTGGAACACCCATGTCTCATCTCTAAAGTCTTGCTATCCTAATAAAGCAAACAATGTGGGGGAGATGCTTGGATAATACTCTTTTGATTCTATTTATAAGTCACTTCCAACATGTTTCGCTAGTATCAAGAAAAATCTTAAAACTCATTAACCTTGTCTTAAAATTTAATAAATTCTCAACTTTGCTTCTATTAAATATACATATTTCAATAACATATTTTCTCTCTCCAATATTTAATAGAGGGTGAAAGAGAAAATTTATGATAAAAATTTAATGACATGACTTATAAATAGAACTAAAAAAATCCTTCTCACTCTGCCCTATAAATAGGACCAGAGGAAGTACTATTCATTGATTAAAATTTTAAATCACATGACTTATTAAGTTTAAAACCAAAACAACATGATTATATAAATACAACAATTTAAAATCAATTGTTGAATTACATAAATCATAATTACAAGTATACATGAGAACATATTATGATGGCAATTATAAGTGATTTCTAGGTTATAACAGAAACAATGATAGAAAAGTTAGGCACAACATCAAGTCATTATTCTTTTAGTTTAATTGAGATATGTTAAGTTAGTGACTCTTTTAAAAATAAAATAAGGAATATGATATAAATAAAAGTTATTAAATAAATAGATATATAAATAAATTACATTAATATAATTAATATATTGTAAAGAAATATACTTAATCTGTGTCATTGAAATTGCAAATATAAAAAACTTTTAGTTTTAAGTAAGAATTGCACATATTAAAATTATAGTTAATATAAGTATAAATTATATTAATATATTTAATATATTTAATATATTTTTTAAAAAAATAATTTATAAATATATGTAATATTTAGGATGAGATGAGACGTTTTAAAAGCAATCTCATGTCAAGTCCCATCCCAAACCTATTTCGGATAAGGATGAGACCCGTTCTGATATGATTGAAATGAAACTTGATTGATCAAAAATTAGTATAAGTTGAACATCTCTAGTTAAAATTACAATGATCAAATAATTAATTTTTTGAATTATTTATATTGAAAGACCAAGGGACTAAGGGGTATTTTAACCATTTCATGGCATACAGTCCTTACATGAGATTAGAATAATTCTCTGAAAAGACAAAAGTATTTTTCAGATTGTTTAAAGGCTTGTTTGTTTAATTATTTTAATGAAAAATTCACTTATTTTTTTTTAAAATAATTTTGTGAAATCTTATGACTTTATTTAAACTTCTAAAAATATCATGAATTTGATTTTTTTTTCAAACTTTAATTATTTTGAGAATTTATTGTAAATAGTTTTAAAAAATAATCAATAAATAAGTGATAATATTGTAAAAATGTAGAGATACATATGGAGATACACAAAAGAATTATAAAATTCTAAAATGACCAAATAATAAATAATTTTTTCATAAATAGTGATCCATAAAGACGTAATAAAATCTCAAAATAACTAAACATGTATTATTATTATTATAAACAAACATTAAATAATATTTTTTTATAAAATCTATAAATAATTTTTTAATAAAAAATTTCTAAACTCCTTAATAATTTTTTATTTTTTAATATTAAATAAATGGGCCATAATAAACCAAAAGTTTGCATAGTTTTAGGAGAAGCAAGTCCAAGCCAATATAATATGGCCACATATTAGTTTTTTTCTTCACATCTCTTTGCACTCTTCACAAAATAACAATCCCCATGCAATAAATTATGCACATTCACAACTTCAATCCTTGAATTACAAATGTACTCTAAAATATTAATGAATATTGTATAATTTATTTTTCAATCACTCAAAAAACTAGTTAATGATATATATATATACTATTTAATAAATTAGTTAGAATAAATGAATGCCTATATTATTTTTATGAAACATACTCCCTCCATTTAAAAATATAAAGTATTTTTAATCAAATTTTACCCTTTAATAAAATAGTTACCTACTTTTCAACTAATTCTATCTTTTTATATTTACCCCTATTAAACACCCTACAATAAATATAAAGTTATTATTAATAGGGATACTTGTAAAAAAAAAGCAATAATTATATTAAAAATGCTTTATATTTTTGAATATCCATCTTCTCAAAAAATACTTTACATTTTTTAAACGAAGGGAGTATGTAAATATATATATATATATATATCTTAAAAAAGAAATAGGATAAGTTTTAAAAAATGAATTAGATTAGATAGATAAATTAGAATAGAATGACGTACTATCATGTTTTATTTTTAATTTTTTAGTGGACTAAATTAATCAGTTTGCTTAATCATTTGCGAATTATGGTCAAATTTTTATTGATGAAATTTTTTATTCTACATATTTAATCTAATTAATCAAACGGACAATTAAAATGGGTCAAAATAGATTATAGATTAATGGAATGAATCTCGTCGATATTAGAAAAGGAAAGAGAGAGAGAGAGAGAGAGAGAGAGAGAGAGAGAGAGAGAGAGAGAGAGTCCAACAGCCACTTCCAGGATAAATATGTCATTTCATCCTCTCGTAAATCTTACGCCTTCGATCAGATGAATAATTTGCTTCTTAATATTATCCTTCCCTCCTCTACCATCTGACTACTGTTCCTCCCCATTCCGATCGAGCAGAAAATTAGGGTTTCTGCTTCAATTCTTTTAACCCTAATCTGGAAAAGGGTCTAACGGTTTTCGACAAGTTTTGCACTTGATGATTGCACTTTACACTCCCAGTTTAAATTTTCACCCAATCTCGACCTCTCTCGCATGGTTGATTTGGGATTCCACCTTGCGGAGCCCACGGTCTATTCTTTCCAATCTCGTTTTTTGAGCTATAGCAAGGTTTAGATTCTTTCAGATTTCATCATCCAGTTCAGAAGAGGAACAATCAGTATCGTCGGGAACATTTCTTTCTTTGTTTTTTCTTCTTTGATAACTCGTCGGGAACATTTCTAAGTTATGGATGTGGATGGTAGTCATAAGCGCGTCTTTCAGCGTCTCCGCGGGCCTCCGGCTGATGCCAAGCACCAGAAAGTGTGTTATCATTGGCAGGCAGGCAGGTGCAATCGGTATCCGTGCCCTTTTCTACACAGTGAATTACCTCCTCCGAATGCCAATGGGACGTCTTCGAAAAGGTCCCATGGCTCCGCTGATGATTCAGGGTTCTCAGGTCCACGGAGGAATCCGAATTTTAGTGGATCATCAACGTGGGGTGGGGTTCATGGTGGTAATAAATTAATTAGGAAGACTGAAAAACTTTGTACTTATTGGATTCAAGGGAATTGTAGTTATGGAGAAAGGTGTAAGTTCCTTCACTCTTGGAGTGTAGGGGATGGTTTTTCCTTGCTAACGCAACTCGAAGGGCATCAGAAGGTAAAGAATTACTTAATCTTTCGGTTGGTGCGCCTTGGGGATTGAAGGCTGCAAGTTAATGGGCTGGTTATGAACATATGGACAGGTTGTCACCGGAATATCTCTGCCGTCTGGTTCAGATAAGCTTTATACTGGAAGCAAAGATGAGACAGTCAGGCTTTGGGACTGCCAGTCTGGCCAGGTTGTTATTGTATTTGCTCCTATGTCTTTATGTAATATAGTTATCTGAACTTAAATGCGAATACCCGGACATTTCACCTGGGACTATTAGTTCCTCAATCAAACAGTCCAAACTTTGCGTGAAAGTTAGTTCCAAGTTATGTGACATTTCATATTTGATTATTTTGTGTTAAGTTATTCTCAATGCCCGTGTTCTTATCAAATTATTTACAATGGATCCTGTAAATTGCCTTCAGACATTATTCTTGGGTGCTTTTTCTTGTGCTTCCACTAATTGGCAAACTCATCAACCATCCTTCTTTTGTTAAATAAAATTGTTTTCCCCCACCCCAAAAAGATCTAGCGTTTTATATTGATAAATTTTATTGATCCCTTATTGCAAAGTCATAACTTCAACTTCTTGGTGTTTGCTTGACAATCCCCATGCACGTCCTTGATATTTTTTATGTGCAACTAGGGTTTATGAGTAATAAGAAACTGGTTGTGGCCCCTTTTGCCTCCTTATTTGATTTAATTTTTTTGTTCCTCTCCATTTCTCTTTCAAATTCATTGTCAGAGTAAAAGTTATGAGGTGGCCATTCTAATATTGTTTTTTCTGTTTGCTAGTTTTCTTTCTTATTATAATAAAAAACCAATATTTATTTCGTCATTGTTCGTTGATATTATGCTGCAGTGTTTGGCTGTGATCACTCTTGGTTGTGAAGTGGGTTGTATGATCAGTGAAGGTCCTTGGCTTTTTGTTGGTGTACCTAATTTTGTTAAGGTAAGATAAAGCTCATCACCATTTTGTTTTTCTGTTTCTCCATTCATATAACATTTAAATCTAGTCCACTTTGTCCAATTTAGGAATATTTTCTTTTGCTAATATTTGTATTCTGTGCCGTACTTTGAAGAATGACTAATTTGAAGTTTGGCTGATGATGTTGGTTTTGCAGGCCTGGAACACTCAAACATCAAGTGAACTAAGTCTGAGTGGCCCTGCTGGGCAAGTTTACACTTTGGCTGTGGGTAACAGTATGCTTTTTGCTGGCACACAGGTAAAATTTGATATCTATTATTGCTAACAGTTATGCTTTCTTTCCTGAAGAGTTTCTGATGGGAATATGAAATGTTGGAGCATAGAGCTTGTTGGATGAATGGAAGTGGTTCATTTTGGGCTTTTTATGGATATTTGAGTGAAGGTTGAATTTTCTAGAATGTTGTGTTAGAATGTAAGGATGTTGCCCATAAATAACAGGCTACATTTGGAAGCTTTGATGAGAAGGGAAAATTGGGAACAAGCTACCTTTCTCTTGTGTAGATGAAAATTGAGGTTATGATATGGCATGACAGGCTGGGGAGTAAAGTGTAAAGTGTAAAAATCTAATCTAGTCCATATACATTTTATTAATTCAGTTTGTGGTTAAAATTGTATTTATAAATTACAATGATTTTATATGAAATGAGAAATATTTTTTCCTGTTTACCAGCCAATCTGTCTTTTTTCGCCTCCTTAAATAATGAATTTCTCAAACAAAACAATTCTCTTGACAACCTCTTCATTATTCCTTTTGCAAATCCAGTTTTCATGTTAAAAAATGCCAGGCTGGTGAATGGTAGGGAAATAAGGAATACTGAAATGGGGAATGCAGATGTTAGGTTAAAAGCAGAAGTAATTGGCCGGAAAAAAACGGATTGAAAGGAGAACTATTAGAGTAGCTTCACTTGAAAATAAGAACTATTTTAGGTGATTTTTGTTAATGGCTAGTGTGCAACTGCAGCAGGAAGTTTAAGGAGGTGCGTGTTGGTTTCTGCATACATTGAAGTGCAGTGCCATATGACTGCATGCTCCAAAATAGTAATAAAATAAGTAATATTTTATTAAAAAAACCAAAATAAACTTATAAAGAGTTTCTTAAGTAATGAGATAGCAGAGAGAGGGAGGGAGAGAATGGTCAAGAAGTGAAAGAGAGAAGGCATGTAAAGGGACAAACAACATGGATATTGGATATGTAGACAACCAACAGCAAGTGTTAGTGGCTTCCATTTTCACTCTCACAATTACAAGTAGAAGAATGGTCTTTTTGGAATTAATTAAAGCTGGCATAGTAGATGGTTCTTTGTACCAGAGTGCATGTATCCAAAAAAGTAATTAATTATCAAAATTCATCTCTTTGGAGACTGATTGTATGATTGGACTTTCTGGTAAGTCTGGGGCATATACCTCTGCTTATTATTCGGTGGCTCAAGTGAGTTGTGATGAAGACTTCTTATATGTGATTTTATTTAGTTTTCCCTTCTCTATCTGCGTATGGTAAGTGAATTTTTCTTTTCTTCCGTTGCAGGACGGGTCTATATTAGCATGGAAGTTTAATGCAGCCACTAACACCTTTGAGCCTGTTACATCACTTAAGGGTCATTCTGGTCCTGTTGTTTCATTTGTTGTTGGAGCAAATAGGCTATACTCAGGTTCCATGGACAAGACAATAAGAGTAAGTTTGCATAGTTATAAATACTCTGTCATGACATGAGCATAATCTTTTTGCTGTTTGCTTTGTAGTCCTTAAAACCAATATGACAGTATGAATTGGTCCGTTATGATGATCCCATTTGTCTTTTCTCACTGATTTTTGCCTGCTAGGTCTGGAACCTCGAGACATTGCAATGTTTACAGACTTTAACAGGGCATACATCAGTTGTGATGTCTGTTCTTTGCTGGGATCAGTTTCTTTTATCTGGTTCATTAGACAACACAGTAAAGGTTGGCTCAACATTCATATTACCTGCTGATTTTCTGTCTGTTTTAACTTTATGGATTAAATTTTTATTGCCTTCATATCTTTTGGTTTTTGCAGGTATGGGTAGCTACAGAAAGTGGAAACTTGGAAGTGACTTATACTCACAGTGAAGAAGCTGTATGTATGAATTTATTCTTGAGTTCATTTTTCTCTTGTATATTTAGACCCTACGTGTATAATGATGTGTCTATGATAACTCATGGTCTTAAGTTTCTAATTCCTATCCCATTTGCATTAAGGAAAAGAACTGCTTTTCTGAATTCAACTGTTGTGAATGCGTGTTGTCAATCCTGTGAGTTGGGAAATGAAAGAGACCTAAATTTTGACTATCAAAACCAGCCAATGTTGGCATGTCTATCATGAAGAAGTCAATTACAAAGGCTTATACCTATTAAGTGTCCGAAATACTGAAATTACAATTTCTACATTACATGTATGGTTTGATTCAGTATGTCACTAAAATTTCTGTCCCAGATATTATTAACTAGTGTTTTTTTCAGCATTTTTTTGTTTCATGCTACCCATATTGGCATTCTTGTTGCTGCATGAACATGGTAAAGGAAGATAATATACTTTAAAACATGGACCTTTTCTCATCTTGAGTATATCTTGTTTTGATATGTCTTGTCTCTTGTGTTGATGTAATCTGTAGTTACTTGTGCATGACTTGTGGCTAGGTGGAGTTTTTATGGAGAAAATGGGGATGTCATTATGTTTATTCTAATTTTTGTTTATGATGAGGATATTGGTATGATCTATGTCAGGGTGTGCTTAAACTCTGTGGGATGCATGATTCACAAGGCAAGCCCATTTTGCTGTGCTCTTGCAACAATAATACTGTCTACCTCTATGATCTGCCATCGTAAGTGCTTCTCTTCCAACTTTCATTATTTCACGTTTCACTCTAATTCCATTTCCATAATCTTCCCTAGCTAAACCTATCTTCTGCCAACATCCATGACACATTTTACCTTTAACTCACTAGGAACTGATGAAGATGTCAACTATATGATGTTTTCCCATGGTGGGGTAGATTGAGCTATTTCTGGGTTCATTATTATGTATGACCCATTTCTTTTGCAGCTTTGCAGAGAGAGGCAAGATTTTCACAAAGCAAGAGGTTCGAGCTATCGAGGTTGGTCCCAGTGGCTTATTCTTCACTGGTGATGGAACAGGTCAAGTAAAAGTCTGGAATTGGTTGCCGGAGCCATCTTCTTCCCATCCAATAAATGGCTCTTCGTAATCATGTATTCCATTCATTTGTTCTCATGACTACTACTAACTTTTATTTACACCTTTATTTTGCCAGCATGAGTGAATTTAGAGTGAGGAAAGAGGGTAGCTGTTGATATTGTGTAATTTGAGTTTGCGTAGTAGGCATAGGCATACATCGAAAACGCTTGAGTTTTGGCAGTGGTAGCAAGTATCCATGTCCTAATCTGTATCTTCTGAAGAGGATGGGTCTTTCTTCTTGTCAACGCCTGTCTCGATATTTTATATATATATATATATATATATATATATAATTCTACTTTTCTTGTCACTTGGAAGTATTTCAGAGGATATGGTTTGGTCCTGTCCTTGGTGTGACTCTGAACTTCGGAGGGACGCCACAGTGAGTTTGTAACATTACATGAATCAGATTTGTATTATTACCCATCAAGCCCCCTAGTCCCTGGTGCCCGGGGGGGAGCTTTATGTTTTAATGTTCAATTATTTTCATCCTTTTTTTTTCCCAATGATTTGAGCTCGTCGGCTGGTTTGTGTTGTTTGTTGCGGTGGCCCCATCTACGACGATTTTGGTAATTGGATTAGGGTTTTTCAAAATACTCTAGCTATCACTCCGCTATCATTGTAGAACTTATAAATATTGTTGAAAGAATCAAAATTTGTTGGAATGACAAGCTTGATAAAGTTCACATTTATTTTGGTTCTAAAGAAATTCGTGTTCATTCATTGAGTTTTTGAATAATCATCCTTTCGTTGAAATTTCAGGAAAATTTTGAAATTTATTATAAAAGATTGGATAATTACATTTGAGTATGTGCTTAAAAAAGTGAAAAAGTACATTGATTGGCTTGTACATCATGCTTCAAATGGTAGTTTAGATTTTTTTAATTTTTCTCATATTCTACCCAATGGGTGATGGAATTTTACGTGACCTCATTTGTCACTCTTTTGCATGGTGTTTTTTTTTTATTATTTTATTTCGTGGCTGCTATCTGGAAAAAGAAAAACAAAAATAAAAAGAAAAAGGCTGGGTTGAGTTGTGGGCTAAAATGGAAATTTAGTTTGTTTGATTTCTATTTTCAACGTCCGTTTCCAATTTTCCAAATGAAAGAATGTCAATTGAGGGGGTGTTTTGTTTTTAAATAATTTCTAATTTTTCATCTTATTTTTAGCATAAGAAAATGAAAATATTTCATATTTTTTGTTTTTTTGATTTCACTCTAGTATTTTAAATTTTTAATCTAGATTAATTTGGTTGGCAGCTTGCGGTTAATTTTTTAGAGGATATACCTTCCATTAAGAATTTAAGAATTACATTTAGCCATTGAAAGCTACTATCATCTACTCCTATAATCACCACCCATTGTTGGCACTTGGCAACCAACATTACTAATTGGCAGTTATCATCGATTTTCATTAGTTGTCATTGTTAGCCACTACCAATCGTTGCTATCCATCACCACCTATTATTAATAGTAACCATTAGCTGTTTACCAACTAACCACTCTTAGTTGTTATCAACTAACCACTACTAGTCATTGTTGTTAGTCATAATTGACTAGGTGATTACTATTAACAGCCATCATAGATATCACCATTGACTAACCACCATTATCAACCACCTCAACTACCATTATTAGCCAATGTTAGCCACCTTAGTTGGTTAACAACCACTATTAGTTATGACCAACCACCATCATATACTATCATCATCAACTACTATTAACTATTAGCATCTGTCTTTTTTTTTTTAATTCTAAAATTTCTTTCAAATTAATATCATCAAATCTTTTGATTTATTTTGAAATACAAATTTCAAAAAGTGGTTTACACAATGGTTTTGAAAAATAAAAGATAGGAACATAATCAAACAACCCTTGTAATTTTTTTTTTTTTTAAATACAATGGAGAAAGTTGAAACAACTAGAAAGTGGGATTGATTGAATTCATCACCCCTATAAACTAGGGGAATTTGGTGACTCTAGGCCATATTACTCTTAACTTGTTATACTTAGTTTGTGGGGTGAGTGAACATGAATTGATATTTTTTTCCCTAAAGCAACTTCAATGTTTTAGGTTTAGCTAGTTTTGAAATTTAAGAAACGACAATCAAAAATTAAAATTTATGTTTAATACATTTGGATTTTGAATGATTGTAGGGGTTATTACAAGTTGTGTTCTAATTAGTATGAAATCAAATTTTTTAAAAATAGAACCTTCAATTTTTTCTACCTTGAAAACTATTTATTGTGTGTTTGGATTAATGAGAATTTGAATTTGGATTTAGATTTGAATTAAATATTCATAAAAACTTATGAATTTGTATTTAATTCAAATCTAAATTCATTTCAAGTTATAATTTCTTTATAGTTTCAAATTCCTATCTAACCTAGTCATTTAAAATTTTAATTATTTCAAGTATCTTGTTCTTTTTGTGTTTTTACTATTAATACCTCTTTGACTTTTATATCTTTTATAATATTTTTTGATTAAAAAATAAAAATAAACTTTCTATTTTCAATTTTTCTTTGTTTCGAATCTCAATTTATCTTTCCTCTTCATTTTAACATTTTTAAAGTATCCAACTAAAATATTTTAGATACATGAATTTTAAATTGAGATTTGAAATGTGTAAGATTTTAAATTCAAATCAATCAATTCAACACTACTTAAAATTATAAATAATTTCAATAGTGGATTGCAGTATTTGATAGCATATGATATGGCTTTCTCTAATTCTCATTCCTTTTTTTTTTGGTAACTCTAATTCTCATTCCTATCTGAGTCTCAATCTCATCATTATTTGAACTTTAAAAAATATTGACACAAACCGATGTAGAAGTTGTTAATTATTAATAATGACATACAAATTTATCAAGGTGCACTTTTGTCATTATCAAATCATACAAGTTTTCTTCCCCCATCCCAACTCCCTTATAATTAATATATTAATATAATCGCACTAAATTTGGTAAGTATAAACAGCAAACTCAACTGAGAAGAGAATATTTCTTGAAATATTGACAGTAACCGAGAGACCTCTTTCAATCAAATTGCTACATATATAATAGTTAAAATCTAAACCCCTAACTTCATTTAGACAAGAGCATTTATCACTCATACCAACTTTAATTATTTGTCTTTTTAATGTTAAGTATTTAGTTATATATTTATAATATACGTGCATATATATATATATATATATATTTTGGGTTGCTGTATGTAGGATTTAGATTCAATAAATGGCTTAAATTTACTTATTTAATGAATATCTCTCATAACATAATAACAATTATTTGATTTAATCAAATAGTTGTAAAAGATTTTATTATGTAATACTTAAAAAATACTAAATTTCAAATTTTTGGAGGGTTAGCATATGTAATGAGTTTTTTATTCATGATTATTGTTTTGAATTTTTGTAAGAAAATAAATATTAATAATTTTTAAATATTGATGAAATTCAACGATTGTGATTGAATCACTCATTGAATAATTAGACTTAAGTCCCTTATCAAATCCAAATCCCCATATATATACAATCTGGTATCTACAGATTGAACATGACCTTAATAGCATTGCCACCACGTGCACTGGTTTCAAAGGCTTCTTCCACCTCCTTCTGAGAGAACCCAAACCTGTGAGTTATAAGAGGCCTCACATCTATCTTCCTACTCCTCAGAAACTCCAGGCACAGAGGCCACGTGTTCTTGTATCGGAAAATCCCTATCACATCAACTTCCCTGTATTTGGAACCAAACAATTCATCATTTAAACATTATTACATATATAATGCAGAGAATAAAGTAAAGCAATGTTGGTTATATGTGCTAGTAAGTGATCTACAACTACAAGAAGCTTCAAGGGTCACCAGTAATGAAGCATGATGAACATGGAAATACAGTAAAAGCTACATCTTGTCTTTAGGATTTTTGGTCTTTGCCTCTCTAGTTGAAAATCAAGATCGGCTCTTAGAGTGGCCAAAACCCTAGGTAGGTGGCATTTATGTTTGCCTAAAAGACAAACGATGAACTAACAAAAATTAAATTTAGTAGAAGTGTTTAGTTCTCCACAATAGTGAATTAAGATTTGAATTCTTGTTGAAAAAAGGTGCCTATATCTAATGTATGATTATACCTCAAATATGATTGTTTCTAGCCAATAAAAAGATACATATAAGCAATAAAAAAAATGGCAAACAAGGCTTGGAACCATGTTTCCAAACAAGCACTTACAACATTTTGGTTTGCTTGAATGAGAAATAAAGAATAATAATGTACGGATAAATATTGGTTTTGACCATTTCGTTGTTAGAACAATGGAATGAAAGAGAGGAGATAAGGAACTAAGTAATATGATAATGTCAGTTTTGCCCTTTTAAAAACTGTTTTATTCAGATTCACACTTCAATTTTAAGGGAAAATTTGTCATGTAGATTACATTGCTCCTTCTAGTCCTTTTTATAAGCACATATTAACAACTTAATGTAAATTAATTAAGTTAGTTAAAATTAGTTATTTCTTATAAAATTTCAAAAATACCCTCAATAAAAGTCATTAGTTAGATTAGTTTGTTAATTAGTTCAGAAGCTTTATGGTTAGTTAGAAATAATAGGTGAAAAAAAATTAAACTTAATGCTTTAGCCAAAACATGTTATATATTAATAAGAAACATTCATGAAATCCTTATAACAAAGACAGGAGGGAGTATTATTTTATTCTATTACATATGATGATTCTTATTCTTATCTAAAACAAACCTAACAAGGCACAAGTAATACCATTTCATCTCATTCTCATTCTCATTCCCATTTTCTTATAATCCATTCCAATATACCAAACATATAAAATCCAAAGACAAGTTACACCCTAATGTTCTTGTGCATTTTGAAGTAAAGCATCATGTTTAACAAGTTCTCTAGGAATACAACTTTTTTCTTCTTCTTTCCTTACTCTATTAATTTATATACATGGTAGTAAATAAGATAGAAATTTATGCCTCAGAAAAATTTTTATCATGCAGAGAAGTTGATCTTATATCCACACACACGCAAACAGTGACGGATCCAAAGGGGGGCAAGGAGGGGCTCTTGGGCCCCATGCATAATATAACATTTGGTGAAAATTACCCTTATTCTTTGTAAAATGATCTAAGTTGGATTTTGGCCCCCATTCTTCATTTTATTCTCAATTTGGCCCCCCACCCCCCAACAACTAAGTTCTGGATCCGTCCCTGCACACAAACTCAAACAGACCATAGTAATAATACCTCACAGCAGCTGTTGTGAATGGAATAGTCATTTGAGTCTGAGCCATTCCAACTAGGCACAGTTTGCCACCTGCACGAGTGGCACTCAATGCAGTAGTCATAGTTTTGTTGAAACCAACACAGTCGAAACTAAGATCCACCCTATTTCCCATTGCTTTTTGTATCTCTTCAACTTCTTCACTCACATCCTGCTAAGTTAACAATGAATGACTAGCTATGAATGAACTGGACAGAATGAGCGGAGAGATGTTGACTTTTGTCTTATTGTATGCTGACAAAAACAGAACCATTTCACAACATGAACCATGAAGATTTACTTGAATATATGGCAAATGGAGAAAGGAACTAGAAAACTAACAAAATTGCTACTTGCAAGTCTGGTACAAAATTAGTATTTCTTCTAGATCATAATATAGGACACTGGTAACTATTTCACAATTTTTTTTAAAAAAATAGGTGGAACCTTTGATCTCTTTAAAAAAAAAATCACATATTTCCAATTATATCCTTATTAAATATCATATTCAAATGCCTTAATAATGATAATTGAAAATCCAATACATGTCATTTTTTTCCCAAAAATAGTAATAATTAAATCAAGAGGTAGTGGTATAATTTAAAAAATAATTATAAAAAATACCTTTTTTTGGTCAACAATTATAAAAAAATAATAATATTCTATATATTAAACTAAGCAAAGCTTCTAAAAAATGTTATGTATTGTGAGTCCAGAGGAAATATTTGTTTTAAGGCAACGATTTTTAGGCATTGGAGGAAAAATTGTAACAAAGTCATTGAAGTTAGTGAAAATTGGCCTGAGTATGTAAGGATGCGATGCATACCCCACAAGAACATAGGACAAAAATCGCACTATCAATGTGAGAACCTTGTTAGTGAGTAATCAATGAGTATTTTTGCAAGCACTTACTTTTCTTTCTTCATTCTGATTTGAAATTTGTTTGACAAACAGACTGAACAGCATAAAAAGTCATTAAATGACATGCAGATCTGTAATGGCAATTGTATTATGTACCTCAATGTTTGCTGAAACTTTAACAGTCTCATCTACACCAAGAGATTTTGCAACAGATAAACGATGTTCATCCACATCCACAATGACGATCCGGGGTGCCCCAAAAGCACGACATGAGAGCATTGTGACAAGTCCAATAGGTCCTGCCCCAATGATCAACACATTTGTTTCTGGTCCAATGTTAGCTCGACGACATGCATGAACACCGACACCCAAGGGTTCACACATTGCTCCCTCTTCCAAGCTCACATTGTCTGGCAATTTGAAACAGAGATTTGCAGGATGAACTATCTGTAAAAACAAAAAGTGTAGCTCATAACATGGGTTTTGATCGTATAACACAGAGACACTTTTATATATTTATGGTAACAAACAGGGCATGGACTTCTTAAATGTTTTCTTCACTCGTTCATTCAACCATAATTGAGACTGTGATTATGATCCTATTACACCAGTCAAGATCATACGCACTTTTGAATTATAGGTTAACCTATGAGCTGCCAACGAGCAGAAAGAACAATGAAGATCATCAGCAAAAGTTGAAAATTAGAATGAAGCATTTATGTGTATTCCATTTCAAATTATTAACTTGCATATAGATACAAAAGACTCTTTCTTCTTCCTTCCTATAAAGTGCTCTGATAGATGCCAAAAGTTAAACAAGGAAAGTTATAAAATATATTTCAGTAAGAGAAAATTTAACATCTGGTCCTTGAACTTTTTCTCAATTATTGATTTAAGTCCTTGAACTTTTACTCATAACAATTTAGCATAGTTTTTTAACTTGGAACAACTTAATCCTTATAGTTTTTTAACTTCGTATAATTCAGTTCCTATGATTCATTCACTTAATAAACTATAAAGATGAGTTATAACGAGTTAAAATTTAAAAATTAAATCAATAATTAAAGAAAAATTTAGGGACTACAAGTTAGATTATCTCTTTCAATAAAGTAGATTTGCTTCCTAATATATGGAACAAAGCTGCACAATGTTATTAGCCAGTAGTTATAAAATTATAATCCTCCTTCATCTTATTGTTGATATGAACTCTTAAGAATTCTGAGATTTTCATCCCCAACCTGGGCAATTTTTTTTTTTTATTTGGTGAAGCTATCATCAACTTGGTCCTCAGAACAACAATGTTGCACAATCACCAAAGCATGTCTTCCTCTAAATGGAAATAATGAGAACAGCATTGACATCAATATCAATCAATTTTCAATATAAATTATTGAAAGAACTAATGCTTTGAGATGCTTCAAATTAAACCTGCTTAGCAAGAGAACCATGAACCGGTGGACTAGCAAAGAACTTCATATTAGGGCATAAATTATATCGACCTAGCTTGCAGAGATCACAGTGCCAGCAACTAATCCCAGGTTCAATAGCCACACGATCACCAGGTACCACATTCTTAACCTCACTACCAACTTCTTCTATGATCCCCGCACATTCATGGCCCATTACCATAGGTTCTTTCATTATATTATGTGCGTTTCTCATTTTCTGCAAAGTCGAAGACAAATGTAACTTCTTTATCAGTGAGAATATAGATAAAAAGCAGGGGATATTTTCTGACCCAAGCAAGGCTGATTCATTTAATTGAATATTGGAAAAATGTAATTGTTGGTCCTCTAAGTTTATCTAATCTTATCATGTTTTGATATTCTATAATTTTTTTTCCTTATTAAGTCCTTTAAGTTTTATGGGTCTGCAAGATTAGTCCTTCATTAATATTGCTGATGGAGTTAAATTTTCTGATGTATAAATAACTTTGTTAATTTTGTTTCTGAGTTGGTAAAATTATATTGGATTAAATGTTGTCAAACCTTTGTGCTTGTCTGCCTTAGTTGTTATGCTTTCTTCTTTTTAAAGTTTCATTCATTGTGCATTTAAAGGATTCCAATTTAGTGCCATGCTTGTCTTTTTTCCCACTTCTACTCATCTTTTATACAACCCGTCATAATTTTTATAAGTCAACATAAGAAGCAGCAGAATTTATGTACACGTTAGTTATCATTAAGTCCTTATGGTCATATTTAAGAATATAGGTCATAACATTGTAGAGAAATGAAATTTAAGAGACTTGGACCAATGAAAAAAAGCCCAAGAACTAATTGTATGTGTCCGTGAACATAGCAAAAATGGGTTTACCTTGAAGTAGTGAACATCACTGCCACATATACCGACAGCTTTGATTCGAATTCTGGCATCATGAGGACCTTCAAATATGCAGCGTGAGAAGTAAAGAAATGATCAAATTGAGTAGGAATTCACAGACAACTGAAGATTACTCTACAAATTAAAAGAGAATATTATTCTCAACAGAGATCAGATTTACTGGTGAAAACAGAGAAATATAGATATAGATATATTTACCCAGGGCTGGGAGCTTGAAAGGTTGAATCTTGAGGGTATTTATACCAACAAGCCAAGCAGCCATATTCTCTTCTTCTTCCTCATGACCTTTACCCATTTGCTTTCTCTCTCTCTCTCTAAAGTTTTATGTGAAACACTAAAACAGTGAGACTGAGTGCTACTGCTGAGAATGTGACTATGTGAGTCTCATGCAAATTAACTTCTGAATGGTTTTGTTATTTTCTCAGTGGGTCTCTTTCTTGTGTGGAAATGTGATGCGTAGCCGCGGTGGCTGTGTGTGATTCAGCCGTTCTCATCCATATGACGATGTGATGTGGAGTTGTCCAGTCATTTATCAACCTTGGACGAAAGAGATAATGCGGGAACGCAACTGGCACGTGAAAGTTTTATGCCATTATGGGAAACGACGTCGTTTGATAAAGATTCATTAAGAAATAACATATCACAACTATATCATTTTAGGAAATCTGTCATAGGTTTGAGAAATTATAATTGGTGATTTGACGTACAAATTGAATCACTGTAAAGAGTTAAAAAATAGACTGGTCTCCTGTTGTGGGCTATGGCTCAAAAGGATTTTTTTTTATAGAATACTCATAATATATATATATATATATTGCCAAGAGCTGCTAGAATCATGAAATCAACAATAGTACATGGTTTTCTATAAGTTTTTCTTAGTAAGGGCATCATTTTCCATCCTATTTAATTTGACTGACATATGTTAAAATGAAGTGGTGTTGACCATTAAAAACATGAAGCAAATAGAAAGTATAAAAATCAACAATAGTACATGGTTTTCTATAAGTTAACAGTAGTGTATGAGTATTTATGAATTTAAAAAAAAAACCAACCTTTTTTAGAGTTAATAATTTGGATAAGTGGGCTTATTATTCAAATTAGGGTTAAACTACTTGAATTTATAAAAAAAAACTCATATAATTAAGATTGGTTTGGAGAAGGATGCGTTGGAGCCAATAGCTTAGATCAATCCCAACCTCAAATGGGCCCAGGTTGAATACATGGATTCCTTTTATTATTAATGAAATTAAATTAAAATGATATAAAAATTGAAAATCTTAATTTTTTAAGATAAAAAAATTAAAATTGGCTAAAGAAGAAAAAATACAATAAAATAATATTTAATAATTCAAGTATTCAGGATAGTCCGAACAAACTTGAAAGCCTAATGCATTAAGGTCAAGCCAAGCTATATGGACTGTTTTATATCTTTGGGTATTTTAAGTTAGCCTAGATTAAGCTCGATTTGAACAAGCTCAACTAATTCAAATTACTGATTCTAAAAAATGTTAGCCTTTTTTATAAAATTAATAGGTACCTATGCATCATTGTTGACATAAGACTATTAAAAACTCTTGGAGAAAAAGTTACTAGATACTTTTCCACTTTATTTATGTTTGCTTCCTTTATTTTAAGGGTCAAAACGGCTCCATGTTTATGGACGTCAGTCAAATTTAATGGGATGGGGAAGGATGCCCTCACTTAAGAAAGTTCAAAGCTATTCATGTACCATTGTTGATTTAAGAATACTGGTAGTTCTTGGCAAAAAAAGTTCATGGTTCATGAATATTTTTACACTTTAACCTTTCTTTAAAATCATCCTTTTTTTAAGCCTACCTCTCATTAATTAGGCCTTGAACCAAGTATGAAAGCCCTTGTTTATTTTTGTTTTTTTAAATTATATTTGTCATCATATTATTACATATTTATGGTTTAAATACAAATTAAAGTATTCTAAAAATTTAAAATAAATAATATAAATCCTAATTTTAAAGTGTTGTAAAGTTTAATTATCCAAAAATATAAAATATCACAAATTTTCGAGGTTCAAGCATGAACCTGTTTTTTTTTTTTTTTCTTTTTTTGGGTTTTAAAGGGACCTGGCTCAAGCTCTTTTATACAAAAGTACTCTAATTATCTTTGCTTTGTTTATCGTTGGTTCAAGGAGTTGCCGGAAAGCTGGTTGAATTGGTGGAAGCCCTTATTCTTAATTAGTGAGAGCTTTCAGTCTCATAGCTATTTGTCTAATGCTACTGTTTCCTTCCCTGTTTTTAGTTTTTTTGTTTTAACTATCCTAGATACCCATTTCCCTGTTACTGAATCACGTGATTCTTTTCCTTCCCTGTTCAATTGTAGTTGTTTTTTTATTTAAAAAAATAATAATAGTTACACTTGAATAACTAATATATGAAATAAGAGAAACAGAGTTATAATTATAAAGGACGTACTTTAAAAAAAAAAATTCATAAATTTCATAAAAAAAAAAATTTCATATTGAAAACTATTAAAAGCTTCTAAAAAATGTCTTAAATAGGATGGAGGTAGTAAGCTCCCATTTCATAACATCCTAGCTCCTAGCGTTCATATTTAATGCATGTCCAGTCCCTACAAGTTGGGTAAATTAGTTAAATTGTTAACATTGTCCCACTCTGCACTTAAGTAGACTCTTGGATATTCTTCTACGAAAAATACATCATACTAGTCATCAATTGACATTGCTATTGATAGATAACACTGAGATATAAGATTTGGTGTTCATGTCCTTGGCACAAACCACAAAGATGAACATAACCTTAGTTTCTAGATTGAACATGGCCAGTTTATGTAAAATCTAATGTTTACAGATTGAACATGACCTTGATAGCATTGCCACCACCAGCACTGGTCTCAAAGGCTTCTTCCACTTCCTTCTGAGAGAATCCAAACCTGTGAGTTATAAGAGGTTTCACATCTATCTTCCCACTCCTCAGAAACTCCAGGCACAGAGGCCATGTGTTCTTATAACGGAAAATCCCAATCACATCAACTTCCCTGTATTTGAAACCAAAATCAGCCAGTCATTTAAACAATCAATCATAACCTTAAACATAACAACTCATGGTACATGATCAGGTTGATTTGTCATATCGAATTAATTTTTAGATACGGATGCCTACGAAAGCTTGCACAATTATTTAGCATTACTAGTTTCATTTTCTTCATATGCCTATAAAATATCTTGCTCTTCACCATCAAAGAACTTTGTCCCCATAGCAAAATGTTGAGGATTGATGTCCTTGGTCCTCAAACTATTAAATTAGAAAAAAAACTTACATATCACTGATGCATATTGCAATGTTTAACGAAATCTGAACATTCATGTGCTCTCTGATACCACACAGTATCGTGTTTATAAGTGTTTGTCAACAAGACTAACATTTTCTTTATCATCATTACTGTGTAATTCATGTTAGCTCTAAGCATCATCAACATAATAGAAATTTTCCAGCAAATATTTTTTATACAGAAAAGTGATCTCCAATTGATGCATACTTGGACCAAGAATCATACCTTGCAGCAGCTGGTGTGAGTGGAACAGTCATTTCACTATGACCCATTCCCACCAGGCATACTTTGCCGCCTGCACGAGTAGCAGTCAATGCAGTAGTCATAGTTTTGTTGAAACCTGCGCAGTCGAAGCTAATGTCCACCCCACCTCCCATGGCTTTGTGTATCTGAACAACTTCTTCATTCACATCCTGCAAAGTACCAAAATAAAACTTGGCCTAGCTGGTATTCAACTATATAGGATGACCAGTTGCATTAAACTGTAGAGGAGTAAACTATTATTGACTTTGCCAATATCGTTTGAGAAGAAGAACCATTTTCCCAATGTAACAGATAAGAGTTACTTGAATATACAGGAAATAGGGAAAGGAACAGATGCCTAGTAAAGACTACCTGCTCAGCTGGTGCAACTTTAGTAACCGTCTAAGGCATAGAATTTCTAGATGTTAAAGGTGAAAAATCATAACAACGTAAACCAACATGTTAGAGGGTCAGCTTTCTTCTTTCATTTTTCTTCAAAATTTTTGTTTGCCAACCAGCACATCATCTAAAGCCACTAAGTGCCTTACAGATCAATAATGACAACTGTACCTCACTATTTGTTGAAACTTTAACACTCTCATCTGCACCGAGAGTTTTTGCAACTGATAAACGATGATCATCCACATCCACAATGACAATCCTGGGTGCTCCGAAAGCTCGAGCTGAAAGCATTGTGACAAGTCCAATGGGACCTGCTCCCATGATCAGCACATTTGTTTCTGGTCCAACACTAGCTCGGCGACAAGCATGAACGCCAACGCTCAGCGGTTCACACATAGCCCCCTCCTCCAAGCTCACATTATCTGGTAGTTTAAAACATAGGTCGGCAGGATGCACTATCTGTCAAAAACAAAAGTGTAGCCCAAACATGACTTTTGATTTGAGAAAATTCACTTCACCACAAATGATACACACACAAACAAACCGCGCATGAGTTCACAAACTTGCCGCTCCTCCAAGTTTATATTGTCTGGTGGTTTAAAACAGGTCTGCAGGATGCACACATCACTCAAGGGTTCACACATTGCCCCAGTCTCCAAGTTCACATTGTCTGATAGTTTAAAACATAAATCTTACAGGATGCAACTATCCTGTGTGCACTATAGAAAAGTGTATAACAAACATGGATATTCTGGTTTGAGTAAATTCAGACACGCGCACACACAGTGAAAGGGGGGGTTCAAAAAAGGGACTTATAGCATGATATTCAAGTTTTCAGTAAAAAGTTATTGAGAATGTAATTATGATCCTATATAGCACACACATGACAATAAGCTGTGAAGACACGACTGTTTTCAAGATCAGTGATCTGTAAAGACACAACTGTTTCTCGTGTCCCTAAGTTGTGACAATAATTATTCCTCCGCAAGAAATCTTCAAAAACTTGCAATTAACTCAAACTTGGGCAATTAATTTTTTATATCCATCCTACACCATGTTGTGGCATTTTCACATGTAAGTGACTCGATGGGAGAAGCATTTGTAGTATAAAACCAGGAAATCCAATGACACTTGAGCAAATATTGCAGCTATTAAATCAACAAAATGTGTCATTGTCAACTCTAATTTTGAATGGAGTCATCCTTTTATTTTCATCTGTCAAAATATTCGATTTATTAGAGATCTGAAGCAAACAAGACACTAACATTCATCTCAGGATATGGATAAGAAATGCCAATATTGGATGAAATGGGACAGTTTCCTATACTTTAAATGTCCTTGATTGTATTCAAAACAACCTCCTTTAACCTACTTGCACTTACAAAGAACTCTTAAAGTATCAAATGACATTGCTTTCTAACAAGGATACAGGACCAGATGGCGACAGATTGAAGGGTCTACCATCATATAAAACATGATCAAACAGATAGTTAGACATATTACACTTGTGCTCTCCTATAACCATCTAAGTATGTTTTTCTATCATCAGAAGTGATGAGGTACATTAACATTATTGAAAAAAGTCAAGAACTACAATTTGAGGAGCTGTGAATTCTTTCAAACCTGATTAGCAAGGGAACCATGAACTGGTGGAGTAGCGAAGAACTTCATATCAGGGCATAAATTATATCGACCCCCTTTACAAAGGTCACAACGCCAACAACTAATCCCAGGTTCAATTGCCACACGATCACCAGGTACCACATTCTTTACCTCACTACCAACTTCTTCTATGATCCCTGCACACTCATGGCCAATTACCATTGGTTCTTTCACTATAAAATCTGCACATCTCAGCGTCTGCAAATTGATAAAATCATCAATCATTACTGGAAATAAGATAAACGATGAGGATAATTTACAGCAGCAAGTAAGGATACTTCTTTCATGTATACTTTTAATTGACATAATTCAGATGCATAACAAATACGCTTACCCTGAGGTAGTGAACATCACTGCCACAGATACCAACAGCTTTCATTCTAATTCTGACATCATGGGGGCCTTCCAACATGCAAAGACAAGTGAGTCAATGAAATCGAGTAGAAGAATGAAAATTACTCTCAAATGAAATTAAAGAGTCACTTAAGTGAGGGAGAATATATACCCAAAGTAGGAAGCTTGAAAGGTTGAATCTTGAGGGTATTTATACCAACAAGCCAAGCAGCCATATTTTCTTCTTCTCCATGACCTTCATGTGACATCCCACCTTTACCCATTTGCTCTAGCTAACTCTGCTCCTCTCTCAAAGCTAAGCACCTGTTGGGTACTTAGGTTGAATTAATGCGTCAGGAAAGGAAAGGAAAAGGAAAAGAAAGGAAGAAAATGGAAATATTTAAGTCGGATACATGTTTTCTTTAGATAAATTTTTGTTTGGTTGGAATTAAATAAAAGATGGAAAGGAAATGAGAAAGGTGGATTATCCAAAATGCCCTTAAGCTTTCTTCATGGTCCATACATAGTATGGAAATGTTGGAAGCTAAACTACTTCAGAACTCAGAAAACTGAACAAATATGCATCATGAAGAAACCAGAAAATGGAGGAGAAATATAAAGTGAATGCTTGCACTACACTACTGGAAACAACAGTTAAGATCTACTTCACTAAATAATAAGATATCCTCCTTCAAGTTTCTCATCAAATATCAGGTGAAAAGATTAAAAGGGAAAAAACAAAAGCCAGAAAATGGACAAGAAAAAAATCTCAAACAGGCAATGTAAGTATTCACTATTAAATAAGGCCTTAAGTTTCATCATGACTAATATGGAGTCCGATCTTGGATATACTCACCTGACCTGGTAAAAAACATTAACACCGCGAAACTAATAAGAGAGAAAGTGAATATCTTATTGAAATGAGCAAAAGAATCACGGATGTCCATAGCAAGCAAGAAATTCCGTGAACATGGAGATAAAATAGTACACACAAACATAAAATTAGCTATCAGTCACGGAAGCCCCAAAAGAGCAGCGTAGACTCTAAAAAAGATACGAAGCATGAAAAAAATCCACAAGGAAAATAATAAAAACAGAGTAAAATAGAGGAGCACGGAGAAGGATCCAGAGGGCGAACCAGGAAAGAAATTCGCAGATAGTTGAAGAAGACTAAAGGAAGACAGCGAACTGGGAAAAACTAATAGACACCAAAGAGAGAATAGAATCAATCACAGTAAAAGGTAGACGATAAAGATGAATATGATGACGCTGGTCAGAAGATGTTATTTTTGTATTTTAGCTTCTCTTGCCCTCTTTAGACGAATCTTTCATTTCAACAAGCCAGACGTAGCATTCACGCTTCCATCGTTGGGTTACTTCACAGTACACTGTAACAGAAGAAGGCATCAAAAAATAATGGCTTCCCTCTCCTTGAAACACAGAGAGAGTAAGGCCACAGGGCTGCTTTTAGCCGATCGATTTGATTGCATGTTATTAATTAACAAGTCGCTTTCTTCGATGCATCGAAACAATATCATCATCCATAATAATTGCACTGTTGGCTTTGTGGATGAATCAGCTCTTCTGATCCATCTCAATGTGATGCCCTTCTTCAGATACATATCAGTCACATGGGGGTAAAAAACAGATACTCTTCTCGAATTGGATCCCATAACAGTCTTCCAAGTACAGCCACTAGATTTCTTTAATATTTAAAAAAAATAAAAATAAAAATAGTCAAGCAACTCTCCTTCAGAACACTCATCCAATACGTTATTCTTCTCGAAGTTGGCGTTTTCGAAGTAACATATAATCATTCAATTAAACGAAATTATTATTATCATGTTACATGACACTCATTGATTCAGTGAATTCGTCCTACTCACTTAAATTCAAATTCGTCGCTCGCAGTCTGTGAGGCTCAAGTGCTGCGGAAAGTTTGATTCTGAGTTCCAACTTACCGCTATATCCTTGGTCTCACATCACATGGATGAATCAATCATGTATTTAAGATATTTGCCTAGATCTTGTAAAGAATTTCAAATGAAAAGAAAAAAGAATTGAAACGAAACCAAAAATTGTAAACGATAAATTTACCTTTATTCTTCAAATGACAAGGAAAGAATAAGAGATAAAGAAGCAGCCAAGTGACAAAGGTTAAAATAACAGAAAATAGGAGCTAAGAGTTGGAGCACTTAAAATTGTTAAATAATCAAAGTAGAAAGAGAATTTAAAATTATAAAAAAAATTATGCAAGAAAGAGATTTGGATTTGAATTTGAATATAATATAAATAAAATCTAAATCCATATAATTTTATATATCCAAATAAAAATATTTTTTCTAAATTCAAATTCAAATTTAAATATCCATTAATTCAAAATAACCTAAAAAGTAAGAAACATAAGTTTTCAGTTGCTATAATTTTAATTAAACTTCCCTCTAGTCTTTAAAATCTACTATATATATTATAATACATTGTACTTTAAATTATATTATATATATTGGAAATTAAAGAAAAGTAATTAAGTAATTAAAATTTTGTATAAAAAAATAAATTTTTTATATTTATCTTTATTTAGAAGTATAAATTAAAATAAGAAAACCAAATGTTTGAATTGAATTTAACGCACTAGACTGAAAGCAAATTTGCTAAGGCCCAAGTTGGGAGAAATGATAGTGGCCCAATATACTTGCCTATTTCAACTTCATACTCATCTTGCATTACCTTAATGTCACGGGGCTAGTCTTTCGACCCGTGCGGCACTTAGACAACCTTCACTGGAAGTTGCTAAGTAAGCCTAACTCGTATGAAAGGAGGATGCTTGGCTAAGAAGAGGAAAGGGAAAGCTTGAAGGCAAAGGAGAGTAGAGAGAGGATGTGAGAGTTCTATAGCTTTGAGAACTCAAGGATGATTTACAAATGAGGAGGGGTGAGGTATTTATAGGCCTCCCCTTGGATCTAGAATGTTCCCACCTCCTTAATGGACGGTGGAGATTAAATCTATCCTACGGTTACAATTGATTCTCTAGAATTCTCTTAACAAATATCTAGATATTTTAATGGAAGAATCTAGAGACAATATTAAAATATTGAGGCTAGAGTTGTGTAGGCTTCTCTAGAATGTTCTTGCACTATCTAGCACTCTTAAGGTTAGCTGGGAGCCTTCTGGAGGGTTCTGGAGCATTCCGGACCTCTTTAACCTTGTGAAAAATGACGAAACGTGACATTCTCCCCCACTTGATTTCGCGACGCCCTCGTCGCGCCTTCCTCCTTGTAGCGTTGGATTTGGTCAGTGAACTGCCACAGGAGGTCTTCACGTTCCCAACTAGCTTCAAAGTCTGGTTGACCCTTCCACTTGATTAAGTACTCGGTGTAGTTGGGAACTCCTCTCTTCCTGATCACCCTGTCGGCGAGGATCTCTTCTATCTCCTTGTCGTACTCGGTGATGACCGCTGTCGGTGCTCTCTTAGAGATACCTCGAGATGGATCTTCTTCGTCTCCATAGTATTTCTTCAAGAGACTAATATGGACGACAGGATGAATCTTAAGCTTGGGAGGGAGTTGTACCTGGTACGCAACCTTTCCCACACGTTTAATGATAGGGAAAGGGCCCTCATATCTCCTGACCAAGCCTTTGTGGACTTTGCGTAGTGACTTGAATTGATTCGGTAATAACTTAACCAGGACCAAGTCACCTACTTGAAATTCAATGGGGCGCCGCTTCTTGTCTGCCCACTTCTTCATTTTTCGAGAGGCTTTATCCAGGCATGCACGAGTAATGTCGGCTTCTTCTTGCCATTCCTTGGTAAACCTATAGGCAGCTGGATTGTCTCCCTTGTATGGAGTGGCAAGTGCGTTGGGGGTTAGAGGTTGTTGTCCGGTAACTATCTCAAAAGGGCTCTTACCTGTCGACTCACTTCGCTGCAAGTTGTAAGAGAATTGGGCCACATCGAGCAACTTAGCCCAATCTCGTTGATGAGCGCTCACATAGTGGCGAAGGTAGAGCTCTAACAAAGCGTTGATTCGCTCCGTTTGTCCATCGCTCTGAGGGTGAAAGCTTGTTGAGAAGTTCAAGTCTGTCCCCAAGAGCTTGAAAAGTTCTCTCCAGAATTTCCCGGTGAATCGGGGATCTCGATCACTGACGATGTTGCGAGGGATCCCCCATAGTTTCACGACATGCTTGAAAAATAAGCGTGCCGCTTCATCGACCTTGCAATCTGCTGGGGCTGGTATAAAGGTGGCATATTTGCTGAATCTATCAACCACCACCATGATACTCCCACATCCTTCAGACTTAGGGAGAGCAACTATGAAGTCCATGGAGACACTCTCCCATGGTCTCTCAGCCACTGGCAAAGGTTCGAGCAGACCAGCAGGATGTTGTTGTTCAACCTTATCTTGCTGGCACACTAAGCAAGTTCTCACATATGCTTCAACATCATCTTGCATATGTGGCCAATAGAAATGATTTTGTACGAGAGCAAGTGTTCGTGCCATACCTGGATGTCCGGCCCACATGGAATCATGGCACTCTTTTAGGACATCCCTTCGAAGGTTGCCCCATTTCGGCACATAGACTCGGTTCCCAATGGTGTAGAGTATTCCATCATTCACCCAAAATCTTCGAGTCTTGCCTTCAGTAGCAAGCTTTACTAAGTTGCTTGCAGATGAGTCCTGAGACATACCTTCCTTGATTCGTTCAAGGAAGTCATTCTGGGGCATGCTTGCTGAGAGAGTGGCTAACTCGGCTTTCCGGCTTAAGGCATCCGCCACTACGTTTGCTTTGCCTGGCTTGTATTCCAACCGATAATTAAACTCAGCAAGAAAATCTTGCCAGCGAGCTTGCTTCGGGCTGAGCTTCTTTTGTGTTTGGAAGTAGCTCGTAGCAACATTATCTGTCATAATAGTGAACTTACTCCCAAGTAAGTAATGACGCCAGGTTCGTAGACAATGGATAATGGCAGACATCTCTTTTTCTTGCACCGTGTAGCGCCTCTCTGTGTCATTGAGTTTGCGGCTCTCGTACGCAATAGGGTGCCTTTCTTGCATTAACACGCCCCCTATTGCAAAGTCTGAGGCATCAGTGTGTACCTCAAACGGCTTGGAGTAGTCGGGCAAGGACATAACAGGCTCTTGCGCGACCATCTGCTTGAGCTTTTCAAAAGCATCTTGGCAATCTTGTGACCATTGCCAAGACTTATTCTTCTTGAGCAAATCTGTTAATGGAGCAGTGATAGTTGAATACCCCTTGATGAACCGCCGATAGTAGTTCACCAGACCAAGGAATGATCTTAACTCTGGGACCTTGGTAGGAGGCTGCCATTCTTGGATGGCTCGAACCTTAGTTGGGTCCATTATGAGCTTTCCATCCTTGATCTTGTGCCCCAAGAAGTCCACCTCTTGTTTACCAAAAGAACATTTTTCCAGCTTAATGTAAAGTTCATGATCAGAGAGTACCTGGAAGACTTTCTTCAAGTGTTGAGCATGCTCTTCAAGAGTCTTGCTGTACACCACGATGTCATCCAAGTATACCACCACAAACTGGTCTAAGTAAGGGTGGAACAACTTGTTCATGAGTGTGCAGAACGTTGCCGGGGCATTCGTCAGTCCAAAGGGCATAACAAGAAACTCGAATGCTCCATATCTCGTCACGCAGGTTGTCTTCGGTTCATCACCTGCGGCGATGCGTACTTGATAGTACCCGGATCGGAGATCAAGCTTAGAGAAGTACCTGGCTTTTCCAAGCTGATCGAACAAGTCGGCGATCAAAGGTATCGGGTACTTATTCTTGATGGTAATCTTGTTCAAGGCCCTGTAGTCGATGCACATTCGCAACGATCCATCCTTCTTCTTCTGGAAAAGGACTGGAGCACCATATGGGGCCTTAGATGGTTGAATGTATCCTGAATCAAGGAGATCTTGCAGTTGTCTCCTTAACTCTTCAAGTTCTGGAGGTGACATGCGATAAGGTGCCAAGGCAGGTGGTTTGGCACCAGGCTCCAACTCGATCTGATGGTCTACCTCTCTTCTGGGAGGTAGTTTCTTGGGCAACTCATCAGGCATGACGTGCTTGTACTCTTGTAGTACCTCTTGGATACCAGGTGGCAAGGTTTCCCGTGGTTTGGTTGGGCCATCCTCTTCCTCGGCCAATGAACGTACAGTGGCAATATACCCTTCTGAGTTCTTGAGACCCCTCTTGAATTGCAAGGCAGAAATCATAGGGTTGGATTTCTCCAAGCGTTTCAAGGGGATTACCCGGATCATATTAGAGTCAATGA